TTTAATTCTACTGCGGAGATCTTCATAACCGATTCTATCAGGCAGAATAACTCCAAACATAACTCTCTTCTCCTTTGCTCGTTGAGTGACCTTAAGCTGCCTTGTACTTATCAGAAGAACCACATCTCAGATCCTTGTTATTACTGGCAACACAAACTTGTTGTACCTACACTCTTGTGTTATTATCTTGTTTTCCAGAATACGCGCCGAGATGTGTCCTAATCTCTCGAACGCTAAACAACCACTCGGGAAAGACCTTCTGTCTACTAAACAAAACATCTGTCAATGTTTTGTTTAGTAGACAGAAATTCCAATTGGGTTTGAAATATAAATAGTCCTTATCAAATCTTGCCGGCCCTCAAATTCTGCTGCAATTGACCCAGACCTCGCGAGCTAGTTTTGCTTCTTGGTATTTTAACTAAGGCATAACATGGAATGGTTGTTCCACTAGTGCAATTGCCAAACCTTCCCAACTCGTATTGAGTTGGGAAGGTTTACCACGTACAAAGTAGGTGAGCTTAGGCGTTTGGAGGATACTTGGTACATCCTTCTTTCACTTAGATTGTAAAATAACCTTCCAATATTACGCCTAAGTTGTACCTATACTGTCATTTATAGACCATATCGTATTTTCAAATATATTTAGTACTAGCTGTTCCTCGCGACTTCGCCCGAGTGTAATTTAGGGTTTTAATTTCGTTGCGCGGAACCCTAATTATTTTTCAAAAATATAAGTAGCCTAAGTTACTCCTTATAACATGAACTATCTACCAGTGAAAGTCCCGTCACAAAAATTTTATAAATTGTATTTCCGTTATAGGTACCGTATATACTTTTTTATGCAATTAGTAAACATTGTATTTATTTGTATAGATAAACGGCCGTATATCCATAGGCGGATTAAGTGTCGAAAGCACCCTAGGCTAGCCTAGCTTCTCATCGGCGCCCCTCTAGCGGCCATATATTATATTCACTATTATTTAACTATTGTATTTTATAATATAGTTTAATAGTTGCAAAATAATTAGAACACGAGTACCTCAATAGGTGGGCGTGAATGAAGTGTGATGAGAGAGTAAGCGATGTAGGAGTACGACTAATCAAATAGGAAGATTTCGTTTTTTGTTTTATACTTCCGCCTTGCGTCCCTATGCACGTGCCATTGTAGTTTGCCTTCGGGATAATCCGCCACTGCGTACCTATATCTATTTGAAAATACGGTAGCGCAATCACTCAGACTGGTGATAACTTTCTCCGGCGTGATGAGAATAGGCAAATCTATCAAAATACAGGGTTATTTTTCAAAGAGTAGCCCAATTTTAAACTTAAGTTCAAATATATTAATAATAAAATACTGTTATTGCATTTTTTGAAAATACGAGTGAATAAGGCTTCTACATTTATTTGAAATTATCCCAAATTTAATGTAATTTAATGGGCAACAACTACGCGTACGCGCTGCTCTGTGTGCGATGTACTATTATTTATTCTGTGATTGTGAATTGAATAGCAATTGTGCCTATGACTTGCTCCGACGATACGTGCTAGCGTAGAGTGGCGTAGAGCCATTGCCAAGCGCGGCGCCTGTGACCTACGCGGTGTCTGCACCCCCCATCCCCATGCCATTGATGGAGATAGATATTAAAAAGGGAGCCCGAGGACGGTCTTCTGTCAGGAAAAAATAAATAAAAGGAAATATAAACAAATGAAGGTAGAACTGGTAATCTCCTATCGGTTTTAGCAGTATATAATATCGCGCAGGTGACTAAGAGGCATCAATCTGTAATTCTACGAGTCTCAATGTCGTTACTATGCCCGTTGGCCGTTGGAGTATTCTACCAGTGTAGGCAAGGAATATAGTGTTGCTGCTTACAGGCTACCCTGTGTTACATTGCGAGCTGTTGGTTTGCATAATTTGGTGTTATCATGTAATTGGGGTCCTGATAGTAAGCAAGTTTGTTACCGAGTAGTGTTCTTTTATTTAAATAATTTTGAGAATAATTTCTAACATCAGAAGTGGAATAGTTTCTACCAATATTTATTATCTGTGAGACTTCTTCGGGCTTAGGTTATAAATTACTGTTATGGATCTCTTCTGCAAAACAAAGATGGTTTCAATGTCAGTCGCATTACCATATAGCAAGATTCAATACGACATTATGCAATAGAAATAACTAAAATAAACCAGTCTAGGTGTTTCAAAATACGTAAGGCTTCTAATCCTTTTTACAGCATATGCTGCAGAACTAAGTTTGCTAGAAAGTTAACACTTTCACTCTCCGATTTTCAGACACAATAGTAAGACGATAGCAATGAACTAAGTATATGTAGTACCTACATGGGACAACGAATGGGTTAAGATATGTGGGAGCCCCATTAAAACTTCGCGTTAATTGTAATTCCGAGAAAAGTAGGTACATTGGTAGTCACTTGTTTAACATAATTTGATGTTGTAAATTTAATGCATTTCCTTTTACTACATTACATACAATTGCCGTTTAAGTCTGCAAATCAACGAGGTATCATAAGCAAATATAACTATATTATGGTTATTCCGTTCCAGGTTAGGTAAGTCATTAATATAAACTAAGAAACCCCCGTAGCTATAATGCTACCAACCCGGAAGAACTACTCTCATTGACAACATAATTTTATATTATTTAAATATGATGTAATAACATAAACCGCTGTTTTTACAACATAACGATGTAGCTATATGACAATTGTCTCATGTTGAACACAGTGGAATGCCTTGTAAAGGTCACAAAATATTCCTAAAGCATCTTCAGAAATCTCCTATGCACAAAAACTTGTTTAATCAGCTCAACACCGGCGTCAGTTGTCAAGATTCCTCGAAAAACCACCAACTGATTTTTGTGAAGCAATTTTACAAGACAATCACTACCAGCCATCACAAGTCCACTGCTGAACATAAGCCTCCTTCATAGATTGCCACAAATTACGGTCCTCACCCAGCTGCACCATCGACTGTCTACGTGTTTCATTAGGTCGACACCATCTGGTGGGCGGTCGCCAAACACTGCGATTGCCAGTACACGAGGCTACCACTCGAGAACTTTTCTTTTCCATCGATCGTCGGTCCACCGAGATATGTCTGGCCTGCTGTCACTTCAGCTTTAAGCGACCTCATACGGCCAGCGGTTTAGAACTGCGTCTCAGTTCCATGTCATCATTGGCTACACTTACTGGTTGTTAACTCACGTTTTTAGGAATACGTGACGAGGAAATCGAGTCGTAATCCTCCGAACGCAGCAGTTATAGTACTCCTTAACTTATTGAGCAGTAAATTTCATTATAAGGTAAATAAAAGACAAGTTTCTATAACACAGCTGTAATGGTATACACATTGCACACGTAACTATAGACTTCGGCTTAAGCGTCACCGAGTGGGCTGTTACGACTTGGGACAACGTTTATTATGAGCCAACATTTATTACAAAAAAGAATTCGTTGATTTTGGCGTCAGGTTGGTTTCCATGAAATATACTATCTATTTCTCGACCACTAGTTAAAGAAAACAATTTAATATTTTTATTTTTTATTAGTTAAAATTACATAAAAGAATACTAACTAAGACAAAGTTATGATTACAACGTAAGAAACACGTCGTAAGTTAAACATCAGACAGTAAGTATATTAATAGTCTTACTGACTATACAACTTTTCTTTGAAAAATGCGTACCATAATAATTTTATACCGCAGCACTATAGACTGTAAATAATTCATTCAGTTTACACACATCAAGACTGAATACATACAATTATCGGAAAAGGTTCATTTTAAAATTAAGGACTATTACCCTTCAGTCACATAAAAAAAAAAAACAATATTCATTATACATTAATAATGACGCTAACTTAAAAACGCAATTAATTACAGCAAAAATCGTAAAATACAGATATAGACAACAGCGCGATTCATGGCGTAATAGGGCTAAGTTTGCGCATCCATGAGCACAAAAAAGGAGATGATTCCGATAAAGCAGTGTAATAACCAATCCAAAACTTCGAATGGCTGCAGGACCAATGGAAGCAATGTTTATCGTAGTCGTTTTTTACCATGCGCTTGTATTTAGAAATTTGAAGTTTTTTTAAGATCTATATTAATCGACAAGGATAGATATGTTCAACGATCGATAAAATTTATTAAAATGAAAAAAGAATATGGGGTATTCCCAGAAGTAGTCTTACCAAGTAGATCTAACTGGCAAGACCACTGGTAAAGAAAATTTTCATTAGTCCTACTCTATAAAATAGATGGAATTTTTCATCACTACCTACCTACTTTACTTTATTTTTATAAAAATTATTTCATTTTCAATTTAATTTTTCAAAACAATTTCATGTAAACGTTTTTTGGCCTAATTTGACTTGTTTGCTTTTTTATGATTAGTAGGAATAGTACTAGGCGAGCATAAACGTTGAAATTGACTACTGAGTTTTGACTATTGACTACTGGGAATACCGCCGAATTCATGTCAATCACAGTAATTAATTTAATATTCAAAATCGTCTGTAATTTAACTAGTAAAATTACAATATACAAAATCCAATCCATGACAATTTATATAACATAATAATGCAGATCGTTTTTTATGTATATAAAGCCCTTTGTCTATTTATTAATGTAAGTGGAATTTTAAATGGAATTAAAACACTCTGACAACGATGATCAACTTAAAACGCTTTATACATATATAATACATAACGCATTTTGCCAATTCAATACATAATTAAAGCAAAATGTTAACATCTAGGTTTAATCTTTCGAATATTATCATATCTATGACCCACATGTCACACAACGCCACAGATGCAAAAGGGTAAAAGTTAACTTCCTATAATGTTTTTAATATTAATATGTACATAAACTTAGGCACATAGTTAAGAATAACTAATATTTATATTTAAATTACTAATGCAAAGAAATTCTATTATGTCAATATAAAAACTATCTTCTATATACTGAACATCTTTTTTCAATAATAAGGCCGCCTTGGGTTGTTCTGAAAGAAAAAAATCACCGTAAGGATATGAAACAAAAACAATTATAAAACTGTTATATATTTAATTAGGTATCATAAGTATTACAGAGCGATAGAAAAAAAAAATATGTTGTTTCAATTGATTCAACACTAAAGGGATTCAGTAATTTTGCATGGTATAAAAAGCTGCTTACTATACTGCTAGCCTGTTATTTTTTTCTACTAAATACCTGACCTTTTGAAATTATAATAATGCGTATTAAATTTAGTGTTTCTCCTCCTTATTTATCTATCAAGCAGTAATCCACAAATCAGGAGATGACAGCAGTGTCTTCCTAATAACGACTAAAAATAAAAAAACTGCAGTTGCCAAGCCGATTATCAAATATCTCCCCTATGACGCAATCTATGGAGGTGGCCTATATGTTCAGCAGTGGACTTTAATAGGCTGTAACGGTAACGGTAAACGTCCAGATCTGGACGTGCGCCTCTCGGCGGATGCAGATCATAGAAAACTTGCCTAGATCGTCAAGGTTGGCAAGCGGAATAACGATCACAGTGACGCTACTTCCCTTCGCTTATCCGAGATTTTTTTTATTCATAGAAAAAGAGCTTTGTCGCTGATGCGATTATGCCGACCTGGTAGTTACAAAAAAATCTTAAATAAAATAATTACTAACAAATATACTTGATTTATTTATTACTATTCTATTATATATTTATTACTTTTAATTACTAAATCTCTTTGTGTTTTTTTTTAAAGTCCCGCTGGGTCTCTTGCTGGTTCTTCCCAGGGCAGAGGTTTTTTGCGAACCAGTCGTAAAAGTAAAAAAATGATTTTCATTAAGTACTATTACTGTAAATACATATTGAATAAAAATTATTCTATTCTTATTTATTAACAAATAAAGTTTTTTGGCATCATCTGATAACGGGTCTGATAAAATACAATAACCTACCAAAGGACAAATATAAATTACAATTTTTTCCTTTCTCTTGAGTTCAGGACACATTCTATCAAAATGTGATCATCGTCGATATAATCAGAGATTGTACGCCTTGTGTAAACGAGACCGTTACACCGCAATAATTCAGAGGTAATATAATCTTTCTGACTGTAAAGTCATATGATCAAAAAAGTCATATGGGAAACCATAGTTGCCTTTTACGCCACTGAACGAAGGGTCATCACCCTTCGTTCAGTGTCGTACGCTGCCTTAGCACGTTTAGTTTTATCGAAAAACAGTCCTTTCAAATTGGCTGAATCAAAGGGAAGCAAATAAACTTACGTTCCTTTTCTGCCACTGAATTGAAAACCGTTATTAAAAAACATGGCGTCAACTGCTGATCCGATTACTACTACAGGATGCAATTGCTACTTTTTGAAAACAACAGGAAAAAGTAAAAAGATTTTTAAGATTTTTACTTGTCTTCAAAGAGTAAACCGAAAAAGTGTGAATTAACTTCTGGCAACATCTTTTCACATGATTTGCGTAGATTTTTCAGTAAAACCTCTTTAATGATTCATTAATGGTACTACTGGCAAACTAGTAAACTTCAAAAAAATTTTTACAGTATAAGATTATAAATAATACTTATTAAAAATCACTCTTTTCTTCAATTCACCACAGGTTCGGAAAGAACCTGTCCTGGGAAGAACCAGCAAGAAATCTAGCGTCCCCACTTTTTTAAACAAAACAAAACTTTAAAAACACAAAACAAATTAGAAACAGCTTAGTAGCGGTCACCTGGGAATGCCCAGGGGTTATTATCATCCATAAATTCCTTAATATTATAATAACACTTTTTATATAAACTTTGCTTATAAAGTTTTTGAACTTTGAGGAATTCATTCATTTTCTTATATATATTGATCAGTACAGTCACATGTACACATATTCATTTTTCTCTGTCCGTAGATGAGCCCAAAAATTTGCGTTCCCTTTTAAAATATAATTTCTTGCATACAGATATTTTTACTTAATAATCTTACCAAAGGGTTAGGTCTAAATCGGTACGCCAGCATCATGCGTTTCCTGTAGGCGTCGAACTCATCGTCCTCTGACGACACCATGTCCGACGACGATGCTCCCAGACCTAAGTTAGCGACAGGCTGGTTTGCTCTGGTGAAAAATAAAATATTTTATTCAGCACAGCCATATTCGTACAAAATAGGAATTTTACAAGTTAGATAACATATCATTGCACGGAAGAATATCTATAAGAACTAGCCTAATGGGGAATTAAAAACAAACATACCAAATAAGCAAGTGATCATGCCTTAGCCCACGATAGAACGAAAATATATTGTGAAATGTTTAACAGTTGTGTGAAAACCGATTAAATAAAACATGTTCCGAGAAAGATTTTCTAAAGTCAGTACAGTAAGAATAATGAAAAACTGAGAACAAAAATATGTTAAATTATAATTAGTCCGTCCTAAAAAATCTAAACACACAGATAAAAATGTGTGAAACAATAAATATATCTGTAATATCGAAATAATTTCTTTCAAAAAATTTGTTGATCTGTCTGTCTGGGCTAATCTTTAGAATGGCTAAACTGATTGTGATGCAACTTCATGAAAGATTATGCCAAAAGTGATCTAAATTATATTTTATTAAAAAAAGCACCTGATTTTTTCTGTAATTGAAACACTGAAAATAAACAAAACTATACGAGATATATAAAAAAAATTGGAATAAAGTATTTTGTTTCTTATTTTACACAAAAAAAGCCTTATATACACTTTCTCTTCTATATATTTTGACATTTTTTTACTGATAAATCGTAGTATTACATAACAAAACCTCTTTTAGGGGAAATTAATAGGTATTCAATTATTTCCCATACCGCACATAGATTTTAAAATAGTAGCTTAAAATTAAGTTAAAAGTGATTTTTCGATAATCGAACTACTTATCCAAAGACGACTAATAAAGATCTGCTAATGTTCTACGCCAGGGTTTCCCAACCTTTTTTTGACCAGGGATCACTTTGAGTTTTTTGTAGTTAACAGGAACCACAAGGTGAAAGAAAAAAAAACTGTTTAATGATAAATTATAATCACAACTTGTTCCGCGGACCACTGGTTGGGAAACACTGTTCTCTAAGCGCATGAAGCGGGTAAAAGCTAGTCATAAATAATTTTGAATATTTATGTATATGATAAGATTATAACTAGAAATACATTTCACAAAAGAACACACGGGCGACTTTAAATTAATGAGATTACATTTGCTATTATAATTAAAAAATATATAAACACACTACACGTATGCGGCCGAGATTTAAATGTTAAAGAAAAACAATAATTAAAGAAACCTTACCAGCCACATAAACAATTCTTTTTACCAAAAGCAACAGAAAGTTAAGTATAATGCTAAAAATGATTTTAAATAAAACTTACTTATTAATAGGTTCTACAATACCAGATCCTTCGGCTCCGAGTCCTTGACCCTCGTTCCAGCCTAGCTTTTGCAGCATTTTAAAACCTTAGAAAGAGAAATGGTTGCATTCAATATAATATTGCAAAAAAATGTTGACAGAATTAAAACAATAGAATAAATAAATATTAGAATAATAAATAGAAAGAAGAAAATATTTTAACACGTGCACGTGCCAAAAATATACCCGTAGGTCAATTTACAAATGAATGTATGAGCGAATTAAAAGGTTAGAAAGGATATGGCAAACAGGGTTAGGTGTATTTTGTAAAAGGAAGCTAAAAAAATAATTTTTTTAACTTTAATTTAGTATAATTTTATAAAATTTCCGGTTCATCTATCTAGCAGACAGTCGAGAAGTAGTAAGGGGTTTAGCCCATTAAAATATGTATTATCATTTTTATCTTTTTAGTCTGTAGTACGCGTAGAAGAATTGAATTTTACTATAACTGAAAAGCATGATATCTAATGGCTCCAGTACACGTTGGCCGAGCGCGCTTGGCGAGCGCGCTCGGCAGATTTTCGTGGTGCCGTTCACACGTTGGCGTGTTTCATTCTGCGTTGGTAGCTAGATGATGATGGACGTTAGGGCAATCGCGGCCGCTGTCATATACTTATACAGCGCTTCACCCTTCTCAGAGTGAACAAAAAAAAAACTACACATACAACAATAATCCCAGTTTGTCCTTTTTAGGGTTCCGACCTCAAAAGGAAAAAGAAACCTTTATAGGATCTACTAGCTGACCCGTGCCCGCTTCGCTGGGGGTTTTTTCAAAATAAATGATAGCCCAAAAGAAGACCCTAAGCTACATTATCCCTGAGCAACATAAACGCAGAGATGATTTATAATAATATTTATCATTAAGTAGGTACTCTTAAATTTTATGTTGCTCATGTTTGGGGTTCCATACAACTCTTTCATTGTGAGAATCAATCAATGAACAATGAATCAATATTTTACTCCATAATTATTAAATCGTAATGTGTTGGTATGCATATAAGTAACATTAAAAATATATTATATTGAATTATATATTTTTTCATAATATATAATATTTATTTATATATATGAAAAAATATATGCGTATAATATATATATGTGTGTGTGTGTTTGTGTGTATATGTATATATTTGTATTGTATATGTATATTTATGTAAGTGCACACTTTGACTACCTCTACTTCCTTCAACTATCCTTCAATAGGCCTGCTGGAAGAAATTTCGTCATGGAATAGGCAGTGCCTTTGTACATAATTATGTTTTTACCATTTTCCTATCGAGTTATGTGTGTACATAAACTATTAAATAAATATTTCCTCATTAGTCCATGTCGCCATGTTGAAACAATTTTATTAAGCCGACACTACAGTCTACTCCGACGCGTAACTATGAACTGAACACTCGGCCAACGTGTGAACACTGTTTGCGGCTTGCGCCAAATTCCTTTGATTTGTGCATGGAAAACCGACACTATACGGCTCGTCGGCGAGCGTTGGCCGCAAACGCCAAATATATACAAAACGGCCCAGTACACGTTGGCCGAGTGCACTCGGCGAGCGCGCTCGGCCAACGTGTACTGGAGCCATAAGAATGATCCATTATCATTCTATACCATCGATCACTAATAAAAAACTAGATGCACAATCCCATACAAAAGTTCTCTAAAAACTGTCGCCAAATGTTTTGACGTAATTCTAGTTGATATAAATATACATTAATGTAAATTCAATCTTAAGTGATATGCTTAAAGTTGTATTCACAAAGCAACGTACAAAAAGCAATAAAATTTTACGACCGAGGCTCTTCACTTAGACTAGGAGAGTGGAGTCGAACTGCACAATATTTTTTGTTACTGTAATTATAATTTTACAATTTTTTTAAACTTGTTTTAAATAATTGGTCTATTTAATAAAGCATATTCTATTCTATTCTATGGTGTATATGTGTAATGGTTATATTATTACCTGAATGTAAACATGCTTTTGTATAGGCACCACATTCATTTAGTAATGAAAATAATTGAAACAGTCATAATTATTTATTTATTCTTTATCTTGTGTGAAAAATTTAAAGATATTGCTTGACAAACAAGTTAAATATAAATATAATAGTTATTAAATATAAAAAATAAGTACAGAAAATTCTTGCAAAATCTAAGAACATTATTGTCCAAATTTTGACGTAATGTTCATATTTACAGGTGTTTAAAAAAACGGATAAGACTGAATAATTATAATGATTTCTTATATTTACGCGTTCACTTCACATTTAAATTAAACCAGTTTTACGGATTTTAACGCGTATATTAACTTATTTTATATTCAGTAAAGAACTCTCATTAAACAAAAAAAATACAATCATACTTTATTAACAAAAAAATAAATAAAAAAAACAATAGCGTTTCCACAAATGGAACAGAATCAACGCATTAACCTCGAACAATGACGACTTATTTTATTACGACTTAATTTAAAAAATACTTTTTCGATGATTTCTTGACAAAATATCAGTATTTACAATACAGTTATAACAATTAAATAATGTTAATATTAATATTTACCGAAAATATGAAATTCCACCCTTTTTTAGCGTCCTTGATGTGTACTTTTTACACTTTTTAAATGAGCGCTGAGGCATGTTTACCGTCGGAACATTCGAATGCTACTAGATTCAATGTGCACCCATATGTTCGAGTGGGTGCACATTCGGTTACGCCATTTTTTGTCACTGATTGTGTATCTAGTTTTTTACTAGTGATCGATGTTCTATACACATTATTTTTAAAAATATAAATATAATATTAACTATTATTCTCAATAGAAAACAAACAAAGTTACTTTTGATTCTCGGCTATTTTAGTTTAGTTCTCAATAATATGTCGCGGATTTAATGAACAAAAATTAGACACAAACAAACTAAAACCTTTATATAAGGATCATTTTAAAATTATTTTGGCGCACACATCATTTTTGAACTCGAACTACCTGCATGAATATGTTGTACCTTGTTTCTCCTATCACTGAATGCTGATTTGCAATCAGTCACAATTTATCAAATCAGTCTCAAATTTTAAAGAGGTTTTGCATTTAGTAGCTGTAATCATCTTAACCTTAGGATGCATCTACATATCGATACTTAATCGAAGGATAAATGTATGCCTGCGTGTATGTCTACGCCTGGTATACTCTAAAATATTACAACTTACTTCCGTTTTAGGTGACAAACATTTAATTGTTTAGGAAAGGCGATACTGTTTGAAGTCACTTACCAACATTGTCCTCTTTCAATTTGAACTCTTTGTAATCGCTCAGATCTGGTTCTTTGCCACTCTTAATTGCTGAGTACTTTTCCATAAATCTGAAATAAGATTATGTCAATGATTATTAAATTGAATTTATGAACCACAGACTAAAGGACATCCGGAATATAATTTTTATCGGAATTTTTGACGTGACAACGTCTTCTAATTCGATGAAGCTGGCTGCACGCACGAAAAAACATGACTCATGCGGCGTTACCTCGCTCTGACGTTCCATTTAAGGCTTGAAGTGCAAGCGAAAGCGCGGAACGAGCGACAAAGAGGCACAATCGGCCTCCGCGTTCGGCAGCGTTCGACATCTGTCTCTCTCCTACTTGAGTGAGCGATGCGTCCGCATGGACAGCTGCTATACAATAATACATTTTTTACATGTTTTCGTCAAGTATGAAGTGCAGTGAAAAGTGAATGTGGTGTCAATTGTTTATAGCAACATTTTCTTATGACGTTGTCACGTTCAACTATCGTCAGTAAACCGACTTTACAGACAACCGATTTTTTTTTTATAGTAATACGTGTTGTTGAATTTAAAAAAAAAACATCAGGATTGTTCATTAGTGCTTCCTCTTTCTAATCATGTGCCTTCCAAAACATATTAGTGCGATGTAAAATAATAAACACGACTTAATGTAAGTGAAATGAGTGATTTAGAAAATTCGTTTCTCGTTCGAGATGTGAAAAAAATAAAAATAATTTGGAAAATCCAAAAGTGCACGCCTCATGAGCGTTTCATTTAATTTTGATGAAAAAAATAAATTGTATTCCTGACTTTTAAAATATACTATTTACGTGTATTAAATTTAGCGGTCTATTATTTTAACAGGTAGTGTTACCTACTGGGAAAAAAATAATATTTACCAAAATAAATCGATTACACAAAGTATAAAATCGATTAAGGCCGTATGGTACATTTGCCCTTTGTTTATCAAATGCTAAAAAAATATATGATAGCGCCTTTAAATTTTTAATAGCGATAAGACTAATAAAAGTTAAAAATAATTTTATCAACAAACTATTCATACTAGGCTATTGATATGAAATAGGGAACCAGTTGATGTAATTCTGAAGCTAATAAAAAACCCCGATATCGATACGTAATTTTTTTCGAGAGTTATCGTAATCACATACAAAATCAACATACGGACGTCCACGTAAATTTTTTTCAAAGTAGCAATATAAAATGATTTTTCAGAAAATATAAGATTGATTAATTAGTGTTTTCTTGATATACGGCTACTTATATTATCGTATAAGTGCAATAAGGTTATGATAGAGGCATTTTAAGAACACAAAATTGCTTGACGAAAGTAGAACACACCTATAACGCTTCGCGTTATGAAGCGTGCAATACATATTTTGACACGAATTGGGGCAGCGCGGCGTACTATTTCTTGTTCCGAAAACCTCGCACAGAAGGCATAGGCGCAACAGGGAAATGTAAATAAAATGTACATTTGGATCCTTACTAAATGTAAGCATATATAAAAATGTAAAAAAACTACAAAAATGTTTAGAATATGAAACCGTAATTTTGATCAACACCAATAATAAAGATTACTAAATAATATTTAGATATTATAATGAAAGGAATAATTTTCTTAAATTTAAATTGGCTAAAACTAGAAAGACGTGAATAAGAGCGTAATTTTTTTGCAATAAAATCTTGTAAAAATCGTGTAAAAAAATTTTCTTAAAAAAGTTTAAATATATAAATAATATATTGAAACAAACGGGACAATGATGTTTTAAAACAACTTTTACTCTGCACTTGCAAGCCCCATGCCTACTGATAGATAGTAAATAAATAAATTGATTAAAATACTTATGATTGACTTATTAACGTATTTAGCTTTGTATAAATAAAAATATTTAGAAAATGTAAAGCCAACGATTCTAGACGAAAGTAGCGGACTCAATCTATTACCACTTTGACAAAATGACAAAATGCACTCTGGAAAAAAAATGAGTATATAACTCTAAATAAAATTTTATTCGACTTGGCAAATGATTTCCTAAAATCATCTAAATCAGAATACAAAATATTTATTTCGATAACTCTAGCAAATTACTTCGTTATTGCTACATACATACAAATACAAAACACACTTTGTAACTTGTATAAATTTTGATGGTAAGCTTCCTAGTCATTAAAAGAGTACTTACAATAGAGTATATTATAGATTATTTATACTCTATTGTAAGATTATAAGTAGAATTATAATTTTATTCGTAACAACTTACTTTTTCAATTCTTCAGGCGGCAAAAAGTCACCAATATGATGTTTGCCAGCGGCTTGTTTAGTAAGCTCATTCGCCCATTTTTCAGTTGCGTTCATCTCCTTAGCGCGCAATCTAAAACAGCACGAAAACAAAATTTCACAACACTAGTTACTAGGTACGATAATTATTTCAAAAGAGAATATGTGCCTATGTGCCATTAATGTCATTAATGTTCTCTTGAATAAAACAACAAAACTGAAAGTAAAGCTAACTGGTGAAACGAAAGCAGTAATTTCCGCTTGACATTGCTAACTCGTTATGAAACTGCTATAATCAAACCGCCTGCCACGTGTGACGATAGTGGTGTGGAATCTACCATAAATTAAGAATGATCCGATGGACCGTGGTACCTCAAGGGCTAAGCGCTGGCTGTATATTTCACAGTACACGAGCAACCCAAGTTCGATCCCCGCCGGCACCAATAAAATTGTTAATTGCAATTTTAAGTGCTGATTTTCCATGTGCTCGGCGGCGAAGGAAAACATCGTAAGGGAACCTGCATCTCTGATAATAAGAAAAAATTTTTTCGAAGACATATGAAGTTCGCCAACACGCATTGAAGCAGCGCGGCGGAAATTTTCTTGCCCTCTAAAATCCTCTCAGAAATGAAAGGCCTATGCCCAGCAGTGGGACGTATACAGGCTTATTTTGGCAATAACTGTCCAAATTTGCAGAGATGGTTCAGAATAAGTTATATAGGCAAATGATGAATAATAATCAATTCAAAAAAATCTTTTAAATTCAAGATGCGTGGTAATACATACATTCTTTTCACTGATTGTCATTCATAAATATCTAACGCTTACTATTTTACTACGCATTCGTAAGGGTCGATCGGTCGGTTCGGTCGGTTTTTGAAAGAAAGGTAATAGGTTTGGTTAATTTTCTTTCAAAAACGTGAATTGATCCGCACACTGAGGAGCGTACGTTCACGTAGTTGTTACCCATAAACCACATTCAATTTGGGATAATCCTACTAATATTATAAACATGAACGTTTGTGAGGATGTATGGATATTTGTTACTCTTCTACGCAAAAACTACCGAATGTATTTTAATGAAACTTTACAATAATATATCTCATACACCAAAAGGTATTAATAAAGATATTTTGTAAATTGGGGAAAATATAACGATAAGTGTTAAATAAGTCGGAAAAAATCTGTCATCTGCGATCTATTTGCGGTGCAAAAACTGTAAGAGTTACACAAATATAATGTATGGTGGAATTGTTTCTCCATAATAGTTCTACAAAAAATCTTTTATGTGTAAGCCATTATTTCCAAAATACATAAACCATAAATACAATAAAATTTGATACTTTATTTCCAATGCATATTTTCCAGTAACAAATGGATTTCTGATGTTCAAATTAGATATTTTGACTGGCCTGTTGGTCTAGTGGTTAGTGACCCTGACTGCTACACCGGAGGTCGTGGGTTCGATTCCCACCCAGGACAAATGTTTGTGTGATGAGCACGATCATTTGTTCTGTGTCTGGGTGTAATTTATCTATAATATTTATGTATTTAGAAATATATAAGTATGTTTATCAGTTGTCTAGTACCCATAACACAAGCTCTGCTTAGCTTGGGACTAGATGGCGTTGTTTGATAGTTGTGGAATATTATTATTATATTATTAGATAAAGTCAGTTTTTTAAACTACGTGCGCTAAACTACGTGTTTTTGTCAAATATTTTAAAAGTAACGGCGGTATAAAATTGTGCGGTCCGGCGCGCGCCGGTCGGTCGGGCGTACTGCGGGCGAGCGAGCTAGGTGGGGGAAATCATCGCTCATCGCCGCGTGAGCAAATGTACCTCTTCACCCTTAAAATTGCTGAACCGATTTAGATGAAATTTGAAGTCCCGGGGAAGGAAATAGGATACCTTTGTCACGGAAATCATCCCCAAAGAGGGTGATGGAATTTACTATGAAAGTGCGATTATTGATGGATCACCTATGGTTTAAAGTATAATATCTAAGGTGGACGAAGTCGCAGACAACAGCTAGTTACAAATAAAAGCAGAAGGCTTATTTACCCTTATTTTCAAAAACTGCAATAACGGTATATCATTATTTATATATTTGAACTAAAAATTAAAATTTGGCTACTCTTTGAAAAATAACCCTGTATATATATATGCTGTAACTATTTAACTTTTTCAACCATGCCTAGCAGTGAACTGTTACGGACTGATAAAGAGGAAGTATTTTGTTACAAAAACAGTTAACGAGCCTGTTCCTTGCACATTTACCTGTGCTCCCAAGTGCCATCAGATGTGTCTTCATCACTATCATATTCATATTTATGTTTGCCTGCTGCTGCCAACCGTTCTACTTCCTGTCTCTTTTTCAGCATGTCCTTTAAAAATTAAAATTATTGTTATCCAAAGAGATGTCAAGTAAAACAAGTCAAAATACATTTAAATAGTATATATGTATTTAACTGAAGATCCTCACACAAATTAATTTCAAACAAAAATAAGCCGGCCAAGTGCGTGTCAGGCCACGCAAAGTGTAGAGGTTGGGTTCCGTAGTTGCCTATCACAATACGTGAACTTAGGAGGGGCCTTCTTAATACTATGAGCGGATAAATATAAAATGTACGATTTTAAAAATAATAGAATCTACATTAAATCCCTTCACATGCCAAGTCTGTACAAAATGGTCATAATTACCTATCCATCTATTAGTACCCCCCAGCAGTGCAACCCAAAGATATATGACCGTAACGAACCTTCCCGTAAACCACCACTGCCCTACACTATTCTGAGAACCGAGAATAAAACTGTAGGTCTACAATAACTACTAACTAAAAAATAAAATAAAGTATTATGACAGAATCGGACTGTTGGCGATCGATTTTTTCTGCCTATCATCGCAAAGGAAAACGTAAGGGTGCTTACATAAAGAAACAGGTTTCCGGTACAGACAAATCTGTGCTGGTCGGTACCGATCGGCGCAGGTATAATATTTCTATGTTATCTTATGCGGTCACTTATAAAGAATCAGGTTTAAACTTGTCGGTGCCGACTACCTGTACTGAGCTATACGGGTTGAAGGGTTTGACGGTGTAGGGTGTGGGTGTTTATGAAAATGGATGTGGATAACGAAGTTTTGATAGCCTTGGTATTTGATATTTGAACATGCCAGTTACGCCATCTCTTAATTAAGCGATGTTCTATTTAATTTAATATGTAGTTAAATGTTTCTCGTGCCATCCTGGTATAATCCTAAAACCTGTGTTCATCAAACTTTATGTCTTTTATAAATAAATGATAATATGACCCATATTTTTTTTCTTTTCCTGTAAATATTAGAGACAAAAACGATTCTTTTCTTTCTAAATTTAAAATAAACACTTTCCAAAAGTAGAAACTCGTCGTTCGATGAACCGGAGGCCATGGTTGTCAATAAGGACAGATTTACCTGTTTCTTTATGCAGGTTAATCCTGCACCGATCGCTACCGACCAGCACAGATTTGTCTGTACCAGAAACCTGTTTCTTTATGTAAGCACCCCAAAGCTATAGTAGTCATACATATAAGCTGTTTTCTTAAAAAAAATGTTTAATTATTACAGTTTATAATAACATAACATGCACCTAAGTTTTACTAATAAAAATACGATTTTAAAACTAAATATTTCGCAAACGGTCCACTGAAACGAAAAAATGTTGTTCCATACCCGTAATATTTTTGAAAGACCTATCCAACGTCATCCCACACGATGGAATAGACGGGTAAAAAAGTCACCTGTATGGTAGGTACCCAAAATAAAAATCCCTGTGTTGGCGTGATTAATATCTATAAGTATGCCTATTATATCTTTGTAGCACATAGAGTCTCTGAGTAAAACGCGGACGGACGGACATGGCGAAACTATAAAGGTTCCTTTTTGTTTTTACTACGGAACCTAACCTAAAAGTGTTTATTGAAACTTGCATAAGGTAGGGTTCCACTGTTTTTGATTATATAAGTATATAGAAATTACTTTTTATATTTTCCAGATTTTTAGATGCATTTAAAAAAAGTTAATGTTGGAGTCATCTATTAAATAAATAAATTAAATTTTAAATTTCTAAGAACATACTTTGTGATAAAAACATTCTTATCTTAAAAATGTAACTTATATTAAAAGAATAAATAAATAATCTGAAAAAGTGATGACGCTGTAATACATTACGGCAGATTGACAGAACGAAATTATAAGGGTTCCTTGTATGAAAGCAATAATTATGCAAAGCAGTGGACCATGAAGCCATATCATGTAATTTATATTATTAATTACATTTGACACATACCTGATACAAAAGGTTTAACTTGAAATTATCCTCGCATTTCTTCCAGTCCTCGGCACTTAGATTGGTGGTGCCGTAATTAGTCATCGCGTACTGCATCAAAGCCGGATTGTTGCGATTGACGTTCGTCAATCTTATACCGTCCTCGTCAACTTTTGCTAATTTTGTACCTTTTTAAAATAAATAAAAAATGTAAAAATTACATGCAATGTCCAAAACATACTAGGGTGGTCTGAAAAGTTTCCGACCAGTCAGTTTCCTTTGACAGATACGCAGCAAAAGGAGACAATTTCTTTTTGTATGGAGAATGGGCCCACCACAAATTGTGGCGTAACTTAATGAAATACATGTCGATTTATTCCTTATAATCTATACTTTTAGCGCATCTAACGAGAATACTGAGAAATTACCAATTAAAATATGAATATCACAATAACCTAAAAACAAACTAAAAGCGATTGTCTAGTAGTTTTCACCGGTATTATAAGTAATAGTGAACTGATTAATAATTAATAGTTTAAAAGAAAGTTGTAGGTACATTCAGCATTTATAGGTACTTTAAGATTTATTGAAAATCCTTTTAGTAGTTCGTTCTTCGTTACGCGCATTTTTTTTTTATATTACATTAGCCAACACGAATATCAATACAACTTTCTTTTTTCAGATTTCATGATTTCGGTTAGATTTTCATCAAGTCTTTAGGCCATTTACTATAATATATTAGTTTTTTATGTATAATAAAATTAAGTTACGTTAAAATTTCTAGTGGGCCCAAAAATGATTATCTCCTTTCAGCCATTTCGGACGCGTAGTTTTTATTTGACAGTCGTTTGAGCGAGTCGGTGCGAGTGTTTTTGTGAAAATTGAATAAATTGAGTATCGAGCTATCATTAAACTTTTGTTTCTGAAAGGCAATACGCCCACGCAAATCAAAGATGAGTTGGACTCTGTGTATGGGGACTCTGCACCATCATTTACCACAATGAAATTTTGGGCAGCAGAATTTAAACGTGGCCGTGAGAACTTGGGAGACGATGAACGTTTGGGACGTCCAAAAACTGCAATTACTGACGATAACATCGCTAAAGTTTACCAAATGGTGGTAGTCGATCGCCGAATTAAAGTGAGAGAGATAGCAGGGGCTATGAAAATGTCCAAAGTACGTGTTTGTCACATATTAAATCAAGATTTAGGCATGAAAAAGCTGTCAGCGTGTGTGCTCACGTTAGACCAAAAACGTGTTCGAATGAACATTTCCATCGCTCTGTAGGCACAGTTTAGGCGCAACAAATCCGAGTTTTGGCGCCGATTAATTACTGTAGATGAAACTTGGATACACCATTGTAAAAATACAGTCAAAACAGTGGACGGCAAAGGGGAACCGGCTCCAAAAAAAGTAAAAACTGTTTTTTCGGCTGGGTTAGTGATGGTGACTGTTTTTTAGGATAGTCATGGAGTTATCTTAATCAATTATCTTCAAAAAGGAAAAACCATTACAAGAGCATACTAGGCATCATTACTTGACAAACATTTGCAGAAAATCCTGTTTCACCATGACCAATATGCCTGATCTAGCCCTAAGAGACTTCTTTTTGTTCCCTCATGTAAAAATTGCGCCTTCCCTTCCGTCCTTCGTGAACAATTATTTTGAAGACAAAAACGCCGAGTTCTACTGGACACGGTTTAAAGAGATGGGAGCATCGCTGGGAAAAGTGTGTAGAGTTACAAGGAGACTATGTAGAAAAATAAAAATAAATTTTAAGAAAAAATGTCTTGTATCTTTGTTAGATCAGAAATATTTCAGACTAACGTACTATGCCTACTCTAATACCAATGAAATGCAAAAATACACTATGCACGTATTAAAAAGACCTGAAATACTGTATAGTACAAAGATCAAGAAGAATCGTAACAAGTACGTAATATTCCGAAGTAAAATGATTTGCTGTAGTTGGGATGAATAACGTAGCAAAAATGATTCCCTCAATAAAAAAAAAACGCGATTATAGAGTACTCTATTTAAGAATACTCTATTCGATATATCGATCGATAATTTATTCATTTGAGGTTTTAAGCCTAACTAGCGAATTTAGTCTCCAGATAGTAAATTGAAATATTGGTTAATTAGTAAGGTGAAACATTTTTATTGCTGGTTAAGAGATAAGCAAATACTATTGCCAATAATCAATTGAAACTACATCTTTAAATCCACACACAGAAAGAAACATAAGCGACTTTTTTATTATTAGGTCCCTAAATATAAAATTGGCGTTTTATACGGAAAAAGCAAATCGATTTTTTTTTAATGTAATTATATATTTAATCAATCAAAGTATGTACCGCTAATATGTATGCACTTTCGCCATTATATAGGTAGTTAATTAATTCTTTTGCTGAAAAAAATTGTAGGAGCGAGAATTAATAATATCTTTGAAGGCGGTTTTGACTCCCTCATCGGAATTTATTTTTTTTTCTTGCAAGAAATTGACCGAATTCCGGAAATAGTAGTAATTTGTTTAGAGCAAGCTCCGGGGTTTATGGTGGGTGTCGGAGACATTACAATCGCAGCTCCTCTAATTTAGCGAACGTCTGTTGGGCAATGTGTGGTCTAGTTTTGTCCTGAAGCAGTAGTGGGCTAGAGCAATTGCTCAGTCTCGGTTGTTTGACGGCTAGCTTTTCTAGATCTACCGTAATCGTCTGGCCAGATCTTAGGAAGCTGTAGTGGATGACAGCACTGGTCCACCAGACACTTACCCGTACCTTTTTCTGAGTCAGCTTCATTTATAGAATCAGGGTGTCAAACGGGCACACAGTCCACTTGATGCTAGGTGGATGCTGTGGCCAATAGACTTGTACATTTATCCCCATCAAAATGCAGATGCGTTGTCACCTCTGAGGACTAAAATGTAATGCCTCTTTCCAGTAAAAAGGGTCTTCGGTTCTCTACACTCATCATACGAAGCACAGCAGCATTAAGCTGCTATTTTACGCTGGTATTCTGTAAGAGAGCCGACCCATTCGTGCAACAACCATAATATAGCTCTGTCGCTTTACCACGTATACGTTAACTTACGCTTGGGGATGGACTTGGCCGGTTCTCCTGGGTTCAACCATTCGGATGAATGTTTTCGATTATCGTACAAGATCCATTTTTATCACAAGTAACGATACGACTCAAATTCAAATTCCCCTCGTTATTGTGACGGTTGAGAAAAGTAACGCAGTACTCGACGCGTGTTTGTTAGTATGCTTCAATTAATTCATACGGCACCCATTTTTCGAGCTTTTTCACTTTACCTATTTGTTTCCAGTGAATTAAAATTGTTATATCACTCGCTTCTAACGTGATTTGTGATGGATCCGCTTCCACGATCACTTTTAACTCTTCATTATTTGTTCTCTGTAGGTCAAAATTTCCAGAACGAAAACGTGGGAACCAAAAAATTACAGTGTTATTTTTTTACAGTAGCTTCCTCATACACATCATTCATCCTTCGAGCTGTTTTCACAGCGCTGGTGCCACGGTGGAACTCGCATACGTAAATAACGCGATATTTTAAGTTTTCCATATTGTTAACAAAACGATGTCAAAAAAAAATTCAAATGGCGCGAAAACAAATGAATCACTAAATTCGAAACACAAATACACAAGCCCAAATTTACAATAAATTTGAATTTGGAATTCCAAACTAAACGCCAGATATTTGCGAATGGCCAGTTCGACAAAACGCCAATTTCATATGTAAGGACCTAATATACCATTTATTGACGACTGTCAATATTTCCAATGCTCTATAGCATAGTCACAGGACTTGTGAATTAAAAGCAAAGAAATCTCTAAAATATTTTTATAATTTATTAAATGGAAACACATTTTCTTACAATAAATAGTAAACATCGAGATTGCATGCATTACATTTTTATTATGGAGTAATCTTTCATTTAATAAATATGTGAAGGGTAAACTTTTTACCCCCCTTAAAGCATATTGTGCGCCTGGGGGAGTATGAGATTTGGCAAAGTTAATGTTTATATGGACGATCTAAAATACTAATATATAATATCTAAATATAATAATTTAAAATACAGGGTTATTTTGCAATAACCGGCCAAATTTGCACAGAATGTTAATTAAAAAAATCCCGAACATTCCGTCCTTTTTATCTTTTAAATTCAAAATGCGTGGTAATACATTATTTTAACTGATTGTCATTCATAAATGTCTAACGCCTGCTATTTTACTACGACACACAGAAGAGCGCGCGTACGCGTAGTTGTTGTCAAATAATAGCCTTATTTTTTCGTATTTTCTAAAACCCCAATAACGGTATATTATATATTTGAACTTAAGTTTAAAATTTGGCTACTGTATGAAAAATAACCCTGTATGTTAACCAAAATAATTACTGACAGATTGATTGAATAAGTTATGAATTATGTATGATTTCTAATATTCCTTTTTCATGCAAAAAAAACATTTATTTTATAGTTTGTATATTATATATCTGTTTTATACTTATTAATGTTCAGTTAAAAGCTTCGATAATCTATACATATAATAAAACTGTAAATAGCAGATGTCTGTACATTTTATATTTTTGTAATAAAAGTGATTGAGGGGTACTAAAAATAAGTAATTAAATACATTTCTACCATTTTTAGAATTTTCTGTCTGTCTGTCTGTCTGTCTGTTTGTTTGTTAACGTATCACGTATAAAGTACTAATTTATATCATAAGAATTGTTAAGGAAATTATAAAGTGTATCTTCGGGTTACATTTAGTCTTTATTTCATTAAAATCAGTTCATTCCATCAAAAGTTATGATAAATATTCTGAAGTATGGGTAGGGAAGTATAGGTACGATTTTGCTCAACGGTGGCTTTGTTTGAGTAATCAAGTGCATTTTAAACTAATATCATATCATAAATCATGGTTAAATTATGTAAAATAATGATATAATTATGTATATCTAAAACGCAGTAAACAAAAGTATTAAAGAACGTATTAAATATATTATACAAAAATATATTAACCTTATTAACTAAATCTGAAACACAATAGTTAACCCATTTCTTCGATAGATGGTGGTGTTGTGAAAATGTAATGCAATTGCAATGTGGTTTTTTTTTGCTTACTGTGCAGGCACTGATTTATAAGTTCTCTTACGTTTTATATAATGTATCAATCGCGTCAATTAATCTCTTTAATTTTTAGAATTGATGTTAGCAGCGCCATCTCTCTTTAAATATATACATATAATAAATATGATGATAACATGTTGTCTCTTTCTGTACATTGTATATATATTTTGGTGGCTAAAATCATTATGGGGAACTGAAAATAATTAAATAAGAACATTTTATAATTTTTAGAATTGTCTGTCTGTCTATTTGTCTGTTATTATATGAACGCATCACGTCTAAAGTAAACATCTTTTATTTTCAAAGAAATCGTTAAGAAAATCATAAAGCGTATCTTCGAGTTACATTTAATCTTTGTTTTATTAAAATTGGTTAATTCTATCGAAAGTTATGATTATTATTTTGAAATGTAGGTTCGAATTTGTTCAATGGCGCCATAAAATCTCAGAAATAGTAATAAAAAGATTTGTGTGTAAATAAAACGTTCCATAATAATTAATATATTTATACTTAAAATACAAAAAGAGATTTAAAAAGGATGTTTTCTCACACAAAGGACGTAATAGATGGAGTTGTACAAATTACAAACTTTTCTGAATTGCTGTGTTGAGATTTTTCGCCGATGAATCGTATCAGAGAGTAGTATGTTCCTTGATTGAGACTTACTGAAGAAATTTGTAGAGTAGTATGTTCCTTGATTGAGACTTACTGAAGAAATTTGTATCCATCGAAGCCATACAACGGAACCCGACCAAAAATAAAAATTTTACTACGAAATGTCGTGATATTGTATTTATAATATACGCAAAATCAGTACTGCCATTTTAGCGCTTTGGGAACTAGATTTAGCGCTTTTTTGGAATGTATAGCGCGCATTTCGAAATTTTAGCACCTAGCGCTTAATCCAGCGCTTTTTGGTGTATTTAGCACACATTTCAATATTTTAGCGACTAGCGGGTTATTAACTCTTTTATAGCAGCACTGTTAGTCCACATTACCGATAATAATAATAATGACCTTTATTATTTTTTCCCACAAATAGTACATTGCAGTTTATCTTTTTCAAACTTATTTTTTCCACAAAACAAAGAGCATGTGAGACGAGTCCAAACTAGGATACCCTGTGCTATGGATCTCCTGGCTTCCCGTTTAGGATTATCAACTTGATTTTTTTACCGACGACTATAAACGGGGAAATCCTCTTTATTAAAGTTTTCGTTCATGGTTTTGGCAACGCATTTGCTTTATTCAGTTTCAGTCAGTTGCTTAGAGCACAGCTAAGTTAAAAGTTACTTAGAAGTTATAACACAAAGAAACTGTGTAGCAACCACAATCAGATGCTGACATCTGAAACTAAGTTGCGAAATACATTACACTTTAAAACAATTAATGACATTTTTATTGTTCGTACATTACTAACTACTGTTGACAGCAATTGCCATAATTATAAGTCGATGTCCTGCGAAGTATTGATACATCAAAAAAATATTGCCAGAAAGAAAACTTAATGTTGTTTTCTTTATTATGATTATATAAAAAACACAAACTTTGTTTGTAGTTAATTTAGCGTGAAATCTAGGGCTTTTTTAAAGCGCTGTTTTCATGAAATCTAGCGCTTTTTGTGTTGTCCTAGAGCTGAATGAGTTTTTTTTTATCTGGCAGCACTGCCCAAAAACCCTCTATTAAGAAGTAACTTTCCTTTCAGTTTTAAGCGCGTTCAGTTCCCAGTTACAGTGAGCGTGTGTTATGCGATGACCGTAAATAAAGCGCAAGGTCAAACTTTACGCGTTGTAGGAGTGTACCTCAGTACTGACTGTTTTGCACATGGCCAACTCTATGTTGCTTTTTCCCGCGTTAGTAGCCCCCGTAACCTTTTTGTGTACACCCCGGCTAAGCCTACTTCTAACGTCGTTTACACAGAAGCTCTATCATAAACGACTTAGAACTTTGATGATAATGATTTATTTTGTTACCACTTATTGATACAGTAATGAAATAAATCGTTTAATATTCTCTTACCTAAACGACAAATTCTTTATGTAAAACCTGTATACGCGAGCTACGCCGCGGGCACAGCTAGTACATAATATATATACTCAAAGTGAAATACAACTTGCTTAGTGTACAAAATTAACAAGTGAAAAAATTAAAAAATTTGTAAATCCGACTTCAATATAAACAAAATGAGAACACCATCAATGTAGTTGAAGTCAACTAACTATGCATTAATGAGGATAACTCAAAAACTACTGATCAGATCTTGATCAAATTTATATGGGGCCACATAAGAAAGAGTGAAAAAGGAAATTTATGTTGCAGAAGTGAACGGCAGGGTCGGGAACGGACGCCCTCGACGAAGGTTTATCGAACAAATCGGCGATACATTAAAAATGGGCCAGATTAGGAGTACCCTTAACCGACGAGCGTGTATGCGTAGATATATGGATGTAAAAGAGGCGAGAGAGGTGTGTCAGGATCGCGCCAAATGGAAGTCCGTAGTCTCTGCCTACCCCTCTGAGTGACAGGCGTGAGTGTTTATGTATTATTATGTAGTATATGTATAAGAAGTACCAGCTTTTCATTAAAAAAAAAATCATCAAAATCGGATCATTAGAAAAAGTTCTGAGGTAACTCATAAAAAAAATACAATCGAATTGACTACATCCTCGTTTTTTGAAGTCGGTTAAAAATTAAATGAATGACGGTAGAATTTCGACTTGACTACTACTAGTAAATTTTTTAATAGTAGTAATATTAGAAAATAATAATTACTACCACAAAAAATAATTTGCCACATCGAACTGAGAATTGGATTTTGACAATTAAAAAAAAACTGTATTACCTGGCATTACTGGGGGTAAAGGTGCTACCACACCGGGTGGCTTTATATCTGCGGGGGGATCATTACCCCATCTAGACTTTCTCTTTCGCTCTCTCCTTCGGCTTTCGGAGTCTTTGTTCTGCGAGTCATCATCCTCGCGCTTTACATCACTGTTGTATTGCATCCTTAAAAATTGATACATAAAATGTAATGTTTAAAAATTCAATTTTATTACCTTGCACCATTACTATATAATAAATTTAATAAAATTTGTGTTAGTAAGAGCTACAACAACCATCAAATCAAAAGTAAAATAATTAATTGGCTGAAAACTTGTGACTATGAAGCTACTGAATGTCTATTAACCTCTAATTTGTAAATTATGTAATTGTAATCATAATAATTCAGGCAATCATAACAATCATACAAATTTAAAAAATTAAAATCATGTACGCACACACACTCACTCTCTCTGTCTCTCACACATACAAACACACCTCATAGGACTAACCTCGGTTTATGGTCCCACCTCATAGGACTAACCTCGGTCTTAATTCAGCATTATGCAGAATGTTTAGACTGTATAATGATATATCTAGGCCTTCTGATTTAGATATTTTCAATGACAATTTAAATACTTTCAGAAGAAAAATGTTACTTTATTTAGAATCTTAATGATGAATGTAAACCCTTTTTAATTTATCATAAATACGCAATTTTGCTACTGTAATATTAAATTTTATGATAATTAACTTTTCGCAACATTACTCTGTGTAAGCTGTGGTTGCCTATAACTGGGTGAGCACATTTCATGTTTCTCTCAATGCTTGGATCTTGTTTTTAGTATCTGTGTATCATCTGTCGGTGACCCTTATAAATAAATAAATAAATAAATAAATAAACACACACACACTGACACACACACACACACACACACACACACACACACACACGCACACACACACACACACACACACACACACACACACACACAGGGCGCGCGCGCGCACGCACGTAGATTTAGAAACACGTATCTATATGTTTTTTTTTTGTGTATTTATTCAACAAAAGTTTGCTAAATATAGGAAGGAACTATTTTCTGTTACTCAGGTTAACCTTTTACAGGAGATAGGGCCACATTGATATGTATAAATTGTTTTTTGTTGCAATAAAATTTTTTCAATTTTTTTTTCAATGTACAATCTAAAATAATTCAATAAGGGAGGCCTATGTTCAACAGTGGATTTTTAATGTAATATAATGAATGAAATAAACAAAATATAATAAATGAATGCATAAATGAAATGTTAAACAAAATTTGGGGCAAGTCTAGAACTTTTGAGAAAGAAGTTTGTAAGAGCAAATTGCTATTTAGTAGTTTGTCCCAGCAAATTGCTAGGGTTATTCCGGAAGAGACGGCCGTAAGGAAGAGATGGCCAATGCAAAAAATCACAGTCATACTTCCTATATTGCGCTACTTGCTTGTGTTAGTACACTTCGTGCAGTGCGTGAGATAGACATTTCGGTCTAACTTCGGCGACAAAATAACATAAATTAAGTAAAATATACCTATATTGATTTGTATAGAGCTTAAACTTTTCAAAGGGTTTACGTTACACAGTTTTGGTATTATGCATCATACAAAGTAAGTATTTTTTAAGTGTTCAATTTATGAACCTAACTTTAATATAACCTCAAAATGGCGCGTGAGTTCTTTACATTTTCTTTTACAAATAATGTGTGGCCATCTATCCCGGGTGATTAGGAGAGATGGTCATACATGGTCGGTATGAGATGGCCATATATGTCTTTATGTAATATTGCAAGTTACGTTAGTATAACTTGTAGTATTTTGCTTTAACTATGGTGTTTTAGTAATAAATTACAGTATTTTATTTATGATGCCTAATGAAAACCAATGAAAAGCAGTCAGCTCACTAAGGAACTCGATTGAAAAATCATTTAAGGCAACCTTAGACGCGCTGTTTGAAGATAAAATGACTACTCAGCTTTTATAACGAGTACGAGGGCGGCACTGAAAATTTCGGGAATCAAGGAAGTGACACATTACTATTTAAAAATGTATTTATTGCTTTTCGAAGTATTCTCCGCGAAATTTGACACATTTTTCCATACGATGGAACCAATCATTGAAGCAACCATTCCATTCGGAAGTTGGGGTCTCCAAAATGGCCGTTTTGTAGGCGTCCACAGCTTCTTCAGGTGATGAAAATCTCTGTCCACGCAATTTATTCTTTATTTTAGGGAAAGTATAGAAATCATTAGGGCTTAGGTCGGGGCTGTACGGCGGATGGTCTAATAATTCTATGTTTTCTTGCTCTAAAAACTCTTTTGTTCTGTGTGCGGTGTGAGAACTCGCGCATTGTCGTGATGGAGGATGATGCGGCGGTTGCAGTTCTCTTTACGGAGTTCAGAAACGACCTGTGGCAAACAAATGCTAACATACCATGGCCGGTTTTGGAGACAAACGTGGCCACCATTTTTTTTGCAACACTCCGTGAACGAACAATTTTTGTTGGCTTTAACTCATTTTCGAACACCCAAACTCGTGACTGGTTTTTTGTTTCGGGTTCGTACGCGTATATCCAGGATTCGTCACCTGATACGATGTTGTATACAGAATTTGAGCATCCTGCGTGGAATCTTTCGAGAGTTCTGACGCACCAAGTAACGCCTAACGCGAGCCGCTTTTTGCTCTTCACAGAGAGAATGCGGTATCCATCGGGAAAACAACTTTTTTACACCTAATTGTTCATGCAAGATTATTTGTATTTGACTCATGCCAATGTCTAAAGTTGCTTGAATTTCGCGGTATGTCACATGTCGATCATCCTCAATCAGCTTACGCACAGCATCAACGTTTTCTTGAGTGACTGCAGTTTTTGGACGACCTTGACGGGGATCATCACTGAGCTTGACACGTCCACGTTGAAATTCAGCAAACCAGCGATAAATTGTGATTTTGGATGGGGCTTCATCACCAAATGCAGAAATCATCCGGTCAACACACTGTTTTTGTGTTAAAGCACTTCGTAAGTCATAATAAATCATCGCTCTTGAATTTTCTTGAGTCAATTCCATTTTCTCAACGACTAAACAAGTTTGACAAAACCTTGTGACAAGACAGAGAATATTTTTTTAAATAAATAAATGCTATTCAATTTTAAAAAACCAAGGACTTTTCAATTAAAAAGATTTTAATATGGCAGGAACAGTGGAAATATTCCATTCCCGATACTTTTAGTGAAGCCTATGTATAAAAGGACAATACAAGTGAAATAATGACATAAAGGAGCCATGGGACCATGATCTTTATCCATCCAGAAAACTTTGCAAAAAAATCATCAACAGTGTTATTTGAAAGTAGTGATGAGGATAAACAGAAACTTTTTTATTCAATATAGATTATAAATAATACTTATTGAAAGTCACTCTTTTGTTTAATTACCACTGGTTCGAAAAAAAACCTCTGTTCTGGGAAGAACCAGCAAGAAACCCACCGGGACTTTTTTTTTAAATAACAGCTTACAATCATGTATGTTACATAAATTAACAAAACAAATAGAAATAGCTTGGTAGCGATCACCTCATTTCCAAGGATTATATTATCATCCACAAATTCTTTAATATTATAATAACCCTTGTACTAATAGCTTGTGTCTGTTCCTAGTATTTACAGAATGAAAACTTATTTTTGTAAAACTACTCTTATTTTAGTGTGCGTACAATACATTTTAAATGTATTGAACGTTAATATATATTAATTTTCTTAAATTTTTGTCGCAGCGATTCTCTAGGCTTTAAATCATAAATTGCTAAACAACCAACATTATGTAATTTAGCTGATGAAGAAGGTGGAAACAGAGAAGTGGAGAAAATTGTTATTAAATGTATCTCATCAAAGACTGGCTTGAAACATGAAAATTACACTGAGTTCAATGATAAGTGGTCATTATCTGTACAGAAAAGAAGAATGTGCTAAGACTCAAAAACTTAAAGGAAAAGAGTGGTTAAAATTCAGATTAACAAACTGGCAATCTCTCCCTTGCTACTATGGCCATCTCTACCGGGTACTACGGGAGAGATGGCCAATCATGATTTGTAGAAAAAAGTAATTTATGACACTAATTATGTTAAACTTCAATATTTTGATGTAATATTCTAAGAGTTTAATGTCGAAAGTTTATTTAAAAGATGATTTTTGTTAATTAATCTTTGTAGTTTTAATTAAACTGATTTCTTAAAAAACTATGGGCAACTCCCCCAGACTTACCCTATTAAGTAGTTTGTCCCAGCAAACTGCTATTTAGTAGTTTGTCCCAGCAAATTGCTATTTAGTAGTTTGTACCAGAAGCATTATACGCAGAAACTTACGGAGCGGGATCTTTAGCAGAGAACCGCTGCTGGGGGAAGCAGATTTGGCTATATACCGCAAAGTCAAGGCGGTTCAACTAAATAGAAATTACCATTCTATAAAACAAGGACCTTGTGAAACCCTAAGCAAATAAGAAAACACAATAAAAATGTATTTGGCCGATGATGGTATGTGTGGTGATTTGACCGATATGTGGGGTGGTCTGCCACAATATACGGGATAGTCCAAGTTAGCCTCTGGGATCATCAAGACGACTGGATTTCCGTAATCAACCGCTCCAGGTTAAAATGCAAAAAGGGGTGCTCCTGGATACCACCCGTATCGTCCGCCTATTTATTTCTCTAACCCCTAACCCTCGGCCACTTTGTCTTGTGTGAGTGTCCGTTGTGGAGTTCCTTCTGGTTGAGATTCATTTATTTATTACTAGCGATCCGCCCAGGCTTACCGTCTAAAATAATAATGATGTCCTTCAGACAGAATTTCGATTACGGCCAGTGGAGCCAGTGGAGCCAATGGAGACTAGCTATCTGTACAGGACAGGATTATAATGCACGAGCGTGTGCGTAAGTACAGGTACACTCTCTGTTCCATAACTCTCATAGTCCGATGAGACAGCAATCTGGCACGATTGGAGAGTGAAAACACCGCCAATTTCCTAACTCAGAGAAAAATCTAATAACTAATTTTGGTCTGACCTGGGATTAGAACCCAGGATAACACGATCAGCAGTTGCGCTGGTTAAACTATAGACATCCGGTACTCGCCTACGAGGTTTGGAGGGGGAGGGGGAGGGGGGGGGGGTCAGGGGAAGCCTACCCTTCCCCGCTTGCGGAAATGTATAGTTTATGAGTAATAATTTCTTTTGTAAAATCATAACCTCACTTTTTTACATAGGAATATTGACACAAAGTTACTTCTGTAACGGCTTCGGCGCTACGGGAAATGCAGCCCCATCGCCCTTGCGTAGCAAATCGCAGGCCTCCATGCTCACCTCCGCAGCTTCGGCTTATTGGTCGCCTTCGGCGACCAGCCTCAGCCGCTACGACTCGCTCGGGGGCCTGCGATTTGCTACAGCGGGCGGGGCCTCCTTTCCCTCCGCGCCTATGGCTTTAAAAAACACTCTAGGGGTAGGGCAGACAAGACTACGTGGAGTCGGGGTGTTCTGAGTCAGTTTTAGTACAAATTCGATCTATCTTATCTAAAGTCAGGTTTCCCTAAACTCTGCTATGATAGTGGTAAATGAAACAATGTAATTTTAATTATTTAATTTATTTTATACACATGCTTTATTGCTCGCATAATTTCTTTGAATGGATCCTTTTTAAACTTTTCTACATTTCGTCTCCACAAATACTCTACTATCACGTCTGTAAAACTTTGAGAATTATTATAATTTTGTTTTCTAAAAAAACCTCTTCACTGCTCTCCACTGCGACTCAATTCGTTGTGTATGAGGTCTGAATGGTTAACTTTTTTATGTGTGTACCCGTGTTCTGCCAAACAATCATATGCCCGCCAACAATCAGTATGAATTGTGGTACCCGCCGCCACATGTCTCTGTATAAGCGGCACCAGTACCTCAGCAGACCTAATATTGTCCGGGCACACCTCTAGTCTGAGATCCTCAGACCCATCTTCTATCATACCGAGCACCCAGTGGCCTTCGATGTGACGTCCTATAACAAATAAAATTAATATTAGACATTTAGTATGACAAAAAAAGGTGTAAACATAATCATACTTATATTTACCTTTATTGTATTTTCGTTTTCCAAATTTGCTCTCATCAATTTGTACAATTTTACCAGGGCCACCAATCTTTCCAGTAAACTGAATCTGTTTCTCGAGGTAGTAAATAACAACTACCTATCTGCAGTAATTGTACCAATCACATATTGTATTTGGGCTTAAACATTGTTGTCTCTGTCGTTTATATGGGTCTTCATGGATTGTTTGATTATAAGACCATCCTTGTGAATATGCATATATGAATATATGTGGGGCATATCAAGAGTTACATTTTCAAAAAAAGTCCCTTGTCGTCGTGAGATTTTAACTCCACTGCTTCCAGCTTTCCCCTTACAGGATGCTTTAGCACATATGAAAGTACCAAGCGATTTGCAGCCACTTGAGTATGAAATTTTCATATTAGTTTTATGTTTGCCGCACTTTCGTTCCTTTAGGACCAGCCCTTCATCCTCACTATATCGAACACATTGCTCGTTCGTTCCAAGTTCACGCACAATATCCGACAGATTCCACATGAACATAATCTCAGACACGTATAGTCGACGCTTCACATAGTCGCCGTCGTCAGAGAAGTCTTCGTCGATGTGTGATAGTTCCTCGAGTAAAGCGTCAGATGCCGAAGAAGGCCCCGCTACGGGTTCGTAATCGCTCATTCTCAGGTCCGGTAAGCAAACCAAAGTCCAAAGTAATGCAATCCAATCAAAACCAGAAACAAAGCCAAGGTCAAACGTAAGGGCAATCAAAGAAGTCCAAAAACAGAGCAGAAGTCGTCGAAAAAACAGGGAAAACACAGCACTAAGCACAAAAAAGAACATTCGCGTGACTACTAGAGAAACGGAATGACAATTTACATTTGACATCATAGATAATATATTATATTTGACATTTACGGTTGCCGACAACATGGCCGTCAATGACCGTTCCGATTCACACTTTTTGCATCTGTTTTTGACATCTAATCTCATAACACTATACAAAATTGTCATATTTGCGTTTCGTTATACGGAATTTTTATTGAAATTTATTTTTGTCATAATTAATTAAAAACGCATTTCCGACATTCAAAAACAGTTTAAAATGTTCATGCTTAACCCTGACAAGCCTCCTAAGTTGAAAACATAACTAAAATCAAGTACCGGATATCTATAGCCAACCCGTTGCGCTTACCAGGAATGGAAAAAATCATGATTTTTTTAAATTTCAATCAAATCATGCCGATTTTTTTATTGTATATTTTGAAATTCACGAGTTGGTAACACGTGGAAGTAAGATTAAAAGTTTATGAATACATATGTATGAGACTGCTTAAGAGTGAAATAATTAATACTGTATTAATTACAGTTCATATCTTAAGGGTGAATTTCTAAAAAAAATTTTGTTTGATTTTACTAAGTTTATGAGACTGACAGACCTCATCGCTACAGTCTTTGTTGATTTTTCAAAGTTTATGAGACTATTGTGATAGAATAATAAGAATAACATAAAACAATAAAATATTTTACCTTATTTTAAGCCAGTTTTATTTAATTTTCTGCCTATTACATTAAACATGTTGATATAAATCAATGAATTTTAAATCAAAATCAAGCAATTTAATTGGTGATATAGATCATGATTTAAATCAGCTAACCCTGGCGCTTATGACCACTAGACCAATCAGGCAGTCAAGGTAAATAATAATAATTAAACACAATATAAAAAGAAATATTTGTCTTCTAACTAATAATTTGTAACTTACCCATACTCTGCTTCCTGCTTAACATATCTATTTCCATCATAACTGTCATCATCTTCCAAACTAAACTCAGGTTCATATTTATCTTCAGGTTTCACCTCTGACTTGCTCTCGTTAACCCCTTCATTTCGCATCTTTTTCACCAACTCACGAAACGCCTTATATTCATTGGAATTAGTATTATGTAGGAACCTGTAATTTTTCTAGATTAAGTCTATATATTAAGAGAAAGTAACAACAACGGATGACTTTAAAAATGTTTTACCCTAAGTACTAATGAAACAGCGTTCAATTTTTATCAAAAAATATATCTATATTCATAAACTTAATATCCTTCCTTTTTCAAAGATAAATTAATAGGTGAACTTTTTTACTGATTATATATATTTACATTATAATCAACAAATTAACACAATATGAACGTTGAGTTATATGTACTATGTACTAGAGAAGCCATTCCGAACATTGACTATGTTCAACTGAACTGTACTGCAATCCGTACAAACTAAATATTGCGTAAATTGAAGATTTGTGAATTCCATAAAATAATTATTATTACATTTTATTTTATTTAGAAATATGTTTGTTCAGATTAAATTACGATATTTTATACTACATTCTTATATTTATTTTACATTAATATCTTATTTTATATCAAAGTAGTCTTCGCGCATGCGCGACTACTACTCCCGCGCATGCGCGAATACATAGAGTAGGACAAAATTTTTGTTAGGAATGGCTTCTCTAGTACGTATTACATATAACTCAATGAATATGAATAGATAGAAACAAATTTTATAGATTACATTAAGAGTAACACTGTTTCATAGTATCTAAATAGCTTCATTGAAATTATGTAAATATAAAAATGAATACAGCACATATCCTCCTGTTTGGGAGCTATACTGGGTACAGTGGCATTACCACATGTTTTGGTCTTGTGAGTGTATGGCTTTCAGGACATTTTCCCAGTGGTCGCCGTTGCTGGCGACTTCTGCGGCGGCGCGCTGTACTGGCGGCGGGAACATATCTGCAGAGAGAACTGCACACCACGAGTCAGCATTGGGTCTTAAGGCCTTAAGGCCAAGCGGCCAAATGGCATCAGAACTGGTGCACTCAAAATATAATTACTTTCCAATAATGCGAACAAGTCCTGGGATGCTCGAATTGATAACTAACTTGCTCTACACCTCGAAAATTCTACCATTGCAACACAATAATTACTTTCATAAAATTAAATGATAAGTACAGAAATCAGACAAAGAAAATTACATAAAATGAACAATTGCAATAATTATTCTGTTTCTATTTTTGTTAAAAATTGTCATAAGCATCTCAGTACCTTTGCAAAATACAATAGTTAATCAATATAATTTGTAAATGTTTTTGATTTCATATATATTATACGAAATCAATTGAAGGTATTGAAAATTACTGGATCATTTCTGAAAATACTTTCAATTTAGAAACAATACATTTTAAGAATGAATACTATAGAACAACACCTCAGAAATAAAATATTAATTTTTAACCAACTTCAAATAATGGATGAGATTATAAATTCAAGTATTGTTTATTTTTGAACATAATAAGGAACCCAATATTTCAATCGTTATATTAACTAATATTTTTATTGTAAGAATTCAGTTCTGTTGTCAATTATCCTGTTATCCTGCTGTGGTGCAGTTTAATAATGTAGTAAACGATTAGTGTGTAACATTATAATAATTTAAAAATAAAAATACATAAAGATTAATGAACTTTCCTTAGATATTTTGCAGACTTAGGACTGTCACAATGAATATTTTATATTAATGATTATAAATACCTAAAAGTAGCATACCAATTTAAACATTTATATGTCAAGGAAACACTTTATTCTTTTCACTTATTTTCATGAGAAATATGCACTTGAGTCTGCACAATTTTTATTAATTGTAATTATTAATTACAAGTTTTATTTATATTTTCAACATCTGTCAAAAAGCAATATTTATCACGAAGCACTGACAACTGTGTGTAGAACACCGCAAGTAGTCTAGGTTCGACCCCCCCCCCCCCCCCCTGAATTAGGTAAAGAAATAAATACGTCGTAAGGAAACCTGCGTAACTAAAAAAATATATCAATAACATAAGAAGTATTTTAATTGTAATTATTGTATTATTGTAATAATTATAAATGTAGCTCTATCACATATTTATATGTGAAGAGCTACATTTTCGCTTCATTTTTCACTGCGTCTATATTGTGGTTAACTTAAGGCACAAAATAGGAGTTCCAAGTATTAATTTATTTGACAACATTAAAATATAAAAATAAAAGATGAACTTTTTGTTGTACACTGAAAAATTATAATCGGAAGGTTAGCAAATCGTAAACAACGTGAAGTTATCATTTGAGCACCCTTTCTCTCTCACATATATTGCTAGTGCTATTGCATAATGCCTATTCACACAATAGCAAAATAACAGGATAAAAACAGCAAGTTAGATAGAAGTTCAATAATGAGTTATTTATACATTATTGTATTCATGACCACTTGTGATTGAAGTTGGTTTTAATTTTTTTAATAATCCAATTTAAGCTAGTTATAGTTTACCTTGAGTAGAATTCGGTGGCGCCGGTATATTTCCAGGATCCAAATCTTTCGGTTTTGGTATATGGTTCAGTGGCAAAGGCATTGGCGGTGGAATATTCTGAATCTTTATAGGTTCTGGAGGTGGAATACTGACGGCATCCAGCGGTTTTGGCTCAGGAATAGTAAGCAAAGAATTTGATGGCATTGAGTTAGGAGGAATAAATGGCATGTTTGGTGGGCCATTTGGTCTAAAATTGGGACCATTAGGTCCATTAGGTCCAAAGTTGGGACCATTTGGACCAAAAGATGGGGAACCCATGAAAGGCATGTTAGCATTATTCATAGAGTTGGGGGGCATTATAGAATTAGGTGGCCCATTAGGACCCATCATTGCTGGATTAGGAAATGGAGGACCAAAGAATGGAGGCATTGGACCACTAGGGCCTGGACCTGGGCGCATATTAGGACCACACATATTTGGTGGTAAAGAACCAGGACCACATGGTCCTCTAGGGCCATTTGGGCCCAAAAAATTAGGTGGCATAGGGAAATTAGGTGGCCCTCCAAGAAATGGAGGCATTGGACCATTGGGCCCCATCATAGGATTAGGTCCTGAACTCATATTTTGTCCAGAACCCATTAAGCCCGAAGCCATAGAGCTAGGTGTCATAGCGTCCATATTAGGTCCCATCGGTGGTGCACCCATTGGGCCAGGTCCCATCGGTCCTGGACCCATTGAACCGGGTCCTCCTGAACCTCCCATGGGACCAGTGCCGATGGGTCCAGGCCCCATGGGACCAGGTCCCATCGGTCCAGGACCCATAGATCTAGGGCCCATCGGCCCAGGTCCCATCGGCCCAGGACCCATCGGTCCGGGACCCATCGGTCCAGGACCCATCGGTCCAGGACCCATCGGTCCAGGACCCATCGGCCCGGGACCCATCGGTCCAGGACCCATCGGTCCAGGACCCAGCGGTCCAGGACCCATCGGTCCAGGACCTAGTGGTCCAGGACCCATGGGTCCAGAGCCCATTTGATTTGGTCCCATTGGACATGTTACCATAGATCCAGGGCCTGGAGGACAAGGACCCACATGTTCTTGTGATGCCATTTCCCTATCTTCAGTGTTAGCTTCTGGCTCAGATTCAGAACCACCATGCATATTCCATTGAGAATGCGAGTTAGGTAATTGGTTTTCTGGTGCCCGGACAGGAATTTGCATAAGGGATGGGATACTTGATTTTTCAGCCCCTTTTTTTCGATCTTCCACAACAGGGGTAGTAGGGCTGTGGTGTCGATTTCTTCCTCTATCATTCCACCTGCGATGTCTATCTCTGCAACATTTATTAAGCTAAGGTTATTATAGTTGCCCAAAATACACTAAATCACTTAATTAAAATTTATCCAAAGTTAATATAATAATAAGGAAGGTAGATTTGTGATGTCTTTTTAAAAACTAGAACATTCATTTCTCCAAATTATAAGCTCACTATAAGTCTATGTGTATGTGACTGAACTCCTCCTATATGGCTGGATCGATTTTGATGAAATTTTGTGTGTGAGATTAAGTTGATTAAAGAATGGTTTAGAATCTAAACCATTCTTGAACCTTGAAACAATCTAAGCTTTAGATTCACAATTGGATCCGATAGGTGATGATACCGAGACACAGAAATCACCCGTGCCAAGTGGAGGTGGATCGCTAGTAGCAATATGAAGTGTTGGTTTACGATGTGCTCTGCAGTGTAAGAAAACATTGTAAGGAATCTAAATTTTAGATTCACAATTGGATCCGATAGGTGATGATACCGAGACACAGAAATCACCCGTGCCAAGTGGAGGTGGATCGCTAGTAGCAATATGAAGTGTTGGTTTACGATGTGCTCTGCAGTGTAAGAAAACATTGTGAGGAATCTAAATTTTAGATTCACAATTGGATTAGGTAGGTGATGTTACCAAGATACAGAAATCATCCGTGCGAAGCAGAGGTGGATCACTAGTAGCAATATGAAGTGTTGGTTTACGATGTGCTCTGCAGTGTAAGAAAACATTGTGAGGAATCTAAATTTTAGATTCACAATTGGATCCGGTAGGTGATGTTACCAAGATACAGAAATCATCCGTGCGAAGCAGAGGTGGATCGCTAGTAGCAATATGAAGTGTTGGTTTACGATGTGCTCTGCAGTGTAAGAAAACATTGTGAGGAATCTAAATTTTAGATTCACAATTGGATCCGGTAGGTGATGTTACCAAGATACAGAAATCATCCGTGCGAAGCAGAGGTGGATCACTAGTAGCAATATGAAGTGTTGGTTTACGATGTGCTCTGCAGTGTAAGTAAACATTGTGAGGAATCTAAATTTTAGATTCACAATTGGATCCGGTAGGTGATGTTACCAAGATACAGAAATCATTCGTGCGAAGCAGAGGTGGATCGCTAGTAGCAATATGAAGTGTTGGTTTACGATGTACTCTGCAGTGTAAGAAAACATTGTGAGGAATCTAAATTTTAGATTCACAATTGGATCCGGTAGGTGATGTTACCAAGATACAGAAATCATTCGTGCGAAGCAGAGGTGGATCGCTAGTAGCAATATGAAGTGTTGGTTTACGATGTACTCTGCAGTGTAAGAAAACATTGTGAGGAATCTAAATTTTAGATTCACAATTGGATCCGGTAGGTGATGTTACGGAGATACAGAAATCACCCGTGCGAAGTGGAGGTGGATCGCTAGTAGTAATATAAAGTGTTCCCTTACTGTGTGCTCTGCAGTGTAAGAAAACATTGTGAGGAAACCGGCAGGTTCGATAACTGAATATTTCAAGGACATATGAGGTATGCAATCAAGCACTAACTCAGTGAACAAATTACTGCGTAGCCTTAGAAATAAGAGTGTGTCTCTGCCCAACAGTGGATGTGTATATGCTGTAAACTTTGTTCTTTTTTTTTAAATATGTAGTTCACTTTTAAATTTAATCTATTAGTACAGACATAAACAGAATTTTATTATACAATATTTGATAAAAAATATTTAAAATGGCAAAATTAAGCCAATGATGAAAACAATAATTAAAAAAACCCACTGTGTAAAAAAGTTTACTGAAAATTTATAGCCTATGTAATTTCCACAATTAAGATGAATCTAATAATACTAAGGTTCTGGTATTTGAAAGGGACGAAGAGAGAACGAAGTGTGAAATATGGGTAAATCAGGAATGTCTAGAACAAGTAAATGAAATTGTATACTTGGGGAGTGCTTTTAGCTGGGATGGAAGATGTGATTTAGATGTGGACAGGTGTGTCGCTGCCGGGAACAAAGTCAATGGTGCCCTGACTGCGTTAGTCAAAAGGCAAGGCGTAGTGAAGAGTGCACGCCTTGCTATACATAACGCAGTGTTGGTACCGACTTTGTTATATGGCAGCGAAACCTGGGTATGCCAGAAGAAGCATAAAAGCAAGTTGAATGCAGTGGAGATGCGATCTCTTCGTAAAATGTACGGCGTTACCATGGCCGACCGAAAGCGAAACGAAGAGATTCGCAATATGGCAGGTTTGAAAGATGACCTTATCACAAAAATTGATAAGGGCGTGCTTCGGTGGTTTGGGCACGTTGAGCGAATGAGTAAAGACCGAATGGTGAAGAAAATATATCGCGCGAAAGTTAATATTAAAAGGTGTCGAGGTAGACCGAGACTAACTTTCGAAGACCATGTGAGCAAATTGCTCGAAGAGGGTAGGGTCAAGAGTACTCGGATACCTAGACGTGCATGTATGAAGAAGATAATGAATCTGAAAGAAGCGAAAGAGGTATGTAAGGATCGTGACACTTGGCGATCTGTTCTCTCTGGCTACCCCGTCAGGGATTGTGCGTGAAGATAAGTAAGTAAGTAATAATACTTGATATATTAAAATCCATCAATCAATTAACGCTAGTGTTCCAAAAAATATACATACATACATACACTCTAAAAACATTAGCCTCCTAGGGAGATTGTTGGGCAAAAATTATACAATAAACTACCTTGAAGATCTTTCCGTTGGTCTCTTTTCATCTGATTCATGCATTACATGTCCTTTACTAGGTTCTTTACTTTCATTTTTAGACTGAGCTTCAGCAGGTTTATGCTTTGCTTCATTTTTTTTCACTTTTTTTTCTTCTTCTAGCTTTTCCTTCTGTTCTTTTTTCTCTTTCTCCTGTTTTTGTTTTTCTAATAAAGCTTTATATTGACTCATAAATGAGCCATCATTAGAAAATATATTCCCTGGAGATTTTTCATCTATGGTAGAACTGAAAAAAAAGGTTTGTTAGTGTAAATTAGTATTTAAAAAAAAAGTTTAAAAAGACATTTGGTAATGGCACCACTTGTTTTACATTGTGTGCTTATTTGCTCACACCTTTAACATCTAAATGAAAAATATTTTTGTGTAAAATGATTCTGGCCCACCAGCATCAATTGAATTTGGTATTTTAGGTTTAGAACCTCTATAAGCCCTTGGAAGATGTACATAAAATCTATAGTTGGATATGAGAGTAACAGAGGAGTTAAGAAAAGAAAACAATGAGAAGGGACCCCACACACCCCCTGCAAAATTAAACCTAAATTAAATTTCACATCAGTATAAGTAGAAGAGCCATACTGCATCTAAATAATGGTGGCTGAACAAATAAGTCACAATTATTAAAACAGCATAAACTATTAAGTTTTGAATCTAGAAGTTTGCTTCCTATGGCCATGATGCTGCATAGGTTGTGCAATAACAGGATTGACTGTAGTTACATTACCAACAAGTTATATTACTTATATTAAACAACAATGAGCACCTCGGTTGTTTTACATCTCATGGCATAAAACAATATGTGCACTGGAGCATGGGCACTCTTCAGCCGCCCCTTAGATAACTATAACTCACACTTCACAGATAACAAAGTTGCAGTCTGACTATAATGATTTACAAATTATGCATTAATTAGCATAATTTCCTACACTTTTACAAATTGCCCAATTGTGTTAAACATAAGGCTAAGCATATAATATTACTTTGTGAGTATTGGTATGGGTTACATGTTAAGTACTCCTAGTATAAATTAATTGATTTGTATTATATTAATGTGTAACTGTTACTTGTCCCAATCAAATAAAATAAAAAATGCAGATGTGATGTCACGTCTGAAGGCAAAGATGGAATGCACAAGGCATTTCATCGTCTCTCTTCCAGTGAAAGGGTCTCCGGTTCTCTACACTCACCATACAAAACATAGCAATATTATGCTGCAGTTACACACTGGTATTCTGTGAGATTGTGGTCCTTCGACCCATTCATACAACTATACAACATCTACATTTTATTTTAACACATTTGTGAAAATGGAAAAATTAAACCATATGCTGTTATTAAGTATCTGTACTTGAAATATTTCGAAATAGATTATGTCAATTTATAGTATGTGTATGTACATGTAGATGTGCCAAAATTTGAATGTGGAAGAATATTCACCGAGGATGACTCTCACTCAACATGCCTCTACAGCAGCAGTGACTAAAGTTGGTAAATATAAAATTGAAAAAATGTAATGTACTAACATTTTACATAAATACTCAGATATGAAAAATTAACCACATATTGAGTACCTAGAAAGCTTATCCATGAACAAAAACAGACCAGACTGATTATTATATCAGGCTTTTTGGAACTGTTGTAACAAGATTGTAATTGTTTTTTGACCCAATTTATAAAACAAATGAATTACAAACAACAAAACAATTTATTAAACATGGTATTACTAATCCAAACCAGACAAAATCACAATCTGACTTGAAAAAGTTCATTACCTCCAACTGTCTAAGAAATTCAAAGATTCCATCAGTAGGATCTGGGGGCTCTCTTTTCTAGGATATTCAAGGAGTAACAATTATTGAACATATTGATTATTGACCTACTGTTACATGTAATGTTAAAAACACAATAACATTTTTAATAGTTACATGTATCATACTTATTCTTACAGTGCCGCTAGCTTACATAATATGCATTAACAAAAAACTACAGCGATCTTTGAAAACATAAAATAAACAATTTTTGAAAGCAGGGAATGAAATTTTTAACTTTGCTATTTCATGTTTCGTTGAAAAGGGGTATTTTCACAAGTGAATGAATGTCTGTAATAAAAATAAGTCGGTAAATAAGAGAAATCCCGTATTAGTAAAGCTTGTGAGTGTTTGTCCCTGAAGTCGAAAAACTAAATCGGCAACCCTAATGTAAGTAACGACAATAATTGTCGAGCTGTATGTTATGCACTGTCATAACGTGTGCATGTCCATATGCCTAATATAGGCTAACTTGAACGTACATAAAAGATGAGAATAGACTTAAATAATTCATGCACTTTCATACTTAGACAATTTTGCCTGTGCAGCAAGCGCAGCCGCCTGTTTTTGGGCCTCCGCCTTTGCTTGAATCTCCATCTTTTTTTTCTCAATAATTTGCTCCTGTTTCGACATTTGAGCCCATCTTGTACTCAGGGCAGATTTGTTTTTAGTTTCTTTGAAATTTAACATCTTTAAAAATGTAAATTACAAAAATGTATGGATAGTGGATACCCCTCACTAATCACAAAACCATAGAGTATTTTTTTAACTTTTTATAACCAAGTACACAAAACCATAGCACAAAACCAACACAAAATCTCTTTTTTACCATAGATTTTTATTAAGATTTTTGGCTCGGATGCTTGTCTTTTAATCCATCCAATCAATCCATGTGTTTTAAGTTTTAAGGCCGGCCTACTGAATTCCCTTTCGGGATTCCGTTTCAATATTCCGATTTGGAATTCCGAATACAGCAAGTTCATATGAAATCTATGACCCCCACACACGTACGGAATTTTCTCCGATTCGAGATTCCGTATGACCGCCAATGCGTTCGGGATCCCGTACGGAAATAAGCCGCTCCGAACGTAAGTCTTCCACAGATTTTGTATGAGTTGCAACGCACATTCGTAAATTCCGTACGGAACGCGCTTATTCTTCGTCGCACGACGGGAGCGAGTAGATGTGTTTATGTATGTTTTTACATTTAATCTTATATGTGTATAGCTTTTCGTAACCTTTCATTTTATTTAATTTAATAATTCGTCAAAAGAGTTTACAGACATCCATCCTTTTTACATAATATTGACAATATTGCAAGCTAAGGGTGATAAGGGCATGCACCTAAAAATAATAATACAGCAACAATGGAATCGCAATCAGAAAATCGTCGTCATTATTCGCTGGCAGAATATCTAGACTCAATGGCTAATGTCTCTCAACTGACCTTTGCTATTCCGAACGGAAATAAACATATATGTGTGATAATTTCGTTTTCATCTAAGGCATTAATTAATACTAATTCTTTGTTCGCAACGCGGGGCTATTTTAATTTCTTTAGTTGGATTAACAATATTTCATTTTGTAGAACAATGCTACAGAGGCATAATGAAAATCCCCAATTCATCCAAAAAATTCACTGGTCAGATGAATCTACATTTAAAAAATATGGTTACATAAACTTATACAATTTTCACGAGTAGCATGTGGCGAATCTACATTTAATGCGAGAATACAGATCCCAGTATCGCAGTAAACCTGTGGACCGGAATTTTAAACGGCAAAATTGTTGGGCCTTTTGAGCTGCCTGAGAACTTGAATGGCGCGAATTACCTAAATTTTTTTCGAGAAAATTTACACATGTGGTATCAACAAGATGACTGCCCAGCGCATTACGCAGTGTAAGTAAGAGATTTCCTTGACCAGGAATATCCGGGAAGGTGGATTGGACGTTCAGGCACTATCTTGTGGCCAGCTCGTTCCCCAGATTTAAATCCTCTGGGTTTTTTTTATTGGGGCGTTTTCAAAGAAAAAGTTTAATCAAAGCTCATTGACAGCGTAGCCGAGCTGCGTGAACAAATTTCTCAAGCTGCTGAGGACATCAACTCTCGAGGATATGCCCGACTAATACCTTGATCTTTTTTAATAAAATGTAGGGCGGGTATTGAGGCGGATGATAAACAATTTGCAGATTTATTGTAATAAAAAATGATATTTACCTATCTGACTTTTATTCCAATAAACCTAACCTAAACTAGGTCAAGATTATTTATTATTTTATTAATTTTACTTACTTTTGTTGACTTTGGTAAAAGTGGCGTCACTATCTGTCTCGGTCGCTCATGGCAAACATGTCCGCTATCCATCTCTCACATCAATAAAAACACATTTGAATAAAAACCATAGAATTATTACGCATAGAATACTAGTACGCGCACCGAAAGTGAAGCAAGTAAAACTAACGCGAAACCGCGTTAGTTGACTCAGCGACGCGTCAGTGCGCAACGTCACACCTTACGGAGAAGAGCTCGCGAAAAATTGTAAAAATTACCGATTGTGTTGTAAAATATTGTCACAACGGTGATGATAAACATAAAAGAAGTGATGGTATTACATCTCACATATAAGTTTATACATTTAATTCATTATAAGTACGTAAAACTAAAAAAATACTTACCTAAGCTCTCATAATACAAATGTTGCAGGTTGTGGGGAAAAAATCACAATTTTCTTTTAAAAATATTTATTTTCTATTTGTGTTTAAACGTTTAATCGCAATGCTCTGTGTAAAACTCAAATGTTTATATTTAGATACCTACTTCTCTAAGTGTTCTTTTTTTCTCTTTAGTTAACATTATATTAACAATGGGTGCCTATTTAAAACTAATACGGAGTGATGAGCTAATCGCGATTCACCGACGTCATTTTAACGCAACTATTTTATTTTAATTGCTTTTTTTATTGACTAAGGTTACGTTTTAGAGTATAGAATAAAACTTTTTTATTTACAATATAAAGCGCACCGGAACACATGGCGCGCCCTCCTCCTCGGCATCCAACTTAACATGCGCAACGGACGCCCCCGTGTCCGATGCGCGAAGGCCATGGGGCCAGGAAAAACTAGCACTCAGAAGCACCAGCCTTTCTGACCCCAGCGGCGGATCTGGTCTCTGGCTCCGCCGCCAACCAAGATTCGGCTGCGGAGGGTAGGGAGAGCGGCACCTCGCAATACCGACACTCCTCTCCCCCCGCAGCCCCACCACCATCGCATCAATTGACGGTGCGGCCCGTCAGAGTCGCGGAGGATAGGGCGAGTGGCGCATCGCCATACCAACACTCCTCTTTCTCCGCGACTCCACCTCGGCTGCAGCGGTAGAGGGAGCGGGCACCACTCTCACCACAGCCCACCGACACACATCCGAAGTGGGCTCGCCAAGCCCACTTGGAGTGGCCACCTCGGGCCGGCCCTACACCACAGGCCAGCCAAAGGGTTCCTCTTTGTTCACCGTGGGTGACCAAACCACGGCTACTAAGCCCCCCCCCCCCGCCACGACAAGGCGGGAACCCGTTTGGGGGGGAAGCATTAGGTACCTACTCTCCTCGGTAAGCATTAGGCTTAAGTTTGAACAAACACCTATTGTTACGAGCTTGGGGTACGAGACAATTAAAAACTGCCGATTGAATTACCAAAATTGACACTTTAATTACACAACACTAATTACAATCTAAAATCATACTAATAATAAAACACAGTTCGCCGTTATTTCGCTTCGAAGTATTCTCTTGTATCGCCAATTCAATACTGCCTCGGTCGTGGTCTATACCGGCCTTAAATAGGGCCTCAGATAGTTTCCAGAACTTGCTACTGTAGCGACATCTAGAATGTTCGAGTACATATCGGTCCCGAAATTTCTGGAAGGATCTTGACTCTCCTAGTTCTGCTACTCGACACTAGAGGGCGCTAGTGTAACTAGTGTTGTCATGTACAAGACATTAATAGTGGCGTGCAACACTGCCGCCTCCTAAGACATGCTCGTCCCGAGCATTATTGGCCCCATAATAACGCGCCAGTCGATCCACATGGACGATCTTAGGAGTACCTCTGGCACCTTTCTGTATCCGGTAGGTTACGTCATTTATCCTTGTCACAATTCGGTACGGTCCGTCCCATTTAGCTTGAAGCTTAACAGATTTCCCTTTGCTGCGAGCTGGATTGTGTAACCACACTAGTGAACCTTCGTCAAACCCTATGTTGTTCATTTTGCGGTCATACCGTGTTTTCATCTTCTCAGACGTTTGCTGGCCCAACTGTCTGACGTGCTCATAAATGTTATTCATTTTGTTTCGCAAGTAATTTGCATAATCGGTTATACTGCGTGGGGCATCAGGTGGTATTCCGGTGATCAGGTCTGCAGGCAGCCGTAATTCTCTCCCAAAGTTTGCGAAAGCTGGCGTCACTGATGTACTTTCGTGAACAGCGCTTCGATATGACATCAAAAACGGTTGTATGTGCCTGTCCCAGTCTCGTTGCCGTTTTTCCACAACTTTTGCCAGGTACCTTTCCAATGTCCGATTAAATCGTTCTACCATTCCATCAGATTGTGGGTGGTAAGAAGTTGTTCGAGTTTTATGAGTACCCATAACTCTGCAAGTTTCCTGGAATATTTGAGACTCGAAATTCCTTCCTTGATCGCTGTGAATCTTTAAGGGTATTCATGAACTAGTTTATCTGCAACTGTTGAAGCTTCTTGATTTGGAATGGCGAAGACTTCTGGCCACTTACTGAAGTAATCCATCACAACCATGAAATACTTGTTTCCGGAAACGGCCCCGCAACGTCAATGGCTATGATCCTCTCCCATGATGCACCAACATTGTACAATTTCAATGCGCCTCTACTACGAATTTGAGGTCCCTTTACAGCCGCGCAACTTTTACATTTGCGGCACCAGTCCTCGACATCGTCACGACAGTGTACCCAGTAAAACCGTTCTCGGATCTTCAGTAGAATTCGTTTAACTCCCAGGTGGCCTCCTGAACAACCACTATAGTACAGCTGTAGAACATCCGGTACCTTAGGGACAACCATTTGCAAATGACAACTGTCTCCCCGACCATTTTCCCATTTACGGCACAGGACCCCAATCCTGAATCAGCAAGCTGTCCCATTGGGCCCAATAGCTTTTCGTGGTCGAACTCATTGCTGAGACGTCGCTCCACTTGGGCTTAGGAGTACTGGCCTTCATCCATTCCAGAATCGGCTTAATGTCCGAATCTTCCTGCTGTGCATGTTGTAGGCTGTCCTTCCACTCATTGCTGAGCTGGTCTGTCCTGAGCATTCTCACAGATACCACTTCCTTACCCTCTTGCCTAGGTTGTCGATGATTATTTTATGTGTTTTATTAGTTTAAACTTACAGAAAATGTCAATATTTTTCCATATACCATATAATAGATGTGGGTAAGTCCTACTACCTAGGTATTTACGTAGTTATCAGTTTTCTAACTAGGCAAATAGGTACTTATTGTTCTATTGTTATACAAAAACAGATACTTACCTATATTTGATTAATTTTATCCAATGCTCGCTTTTACAGTTTTTTAAATTAAAACATTTAAATAATCCAGAATTAACTTGTGGGTCGCAAATTTTTACTTACCATTTTTATTGGTTATTTATTAATGTCCGAG